GGACACACAACACACATCAATACCCAGTGTGTCCAAGGTGCGTGCGAGTGCAGCCTGTAGACCTGTTTGTCTTAGAGTGCGAACGTTGAATGTCACCATGGAAACAGGATACCGTGGCCTTATAGGGGAGTTTTGCGGATAGGCGTCCGATAGGTGTGGTGGGATGGTGGCTGCAGAGGTTTCTACTCCAGTGGCATTTCGGTTGCTGTCAATTAAGCTGGGAATTAAAGACGGAAGGTTAGTAATGAGGGCCGGGATGGGAGTAAGAGAAAAAGGTGGAAAAGAAAGAAGGGAGGCGCCAGCAGTAGCATGTTTTCGCTTATCCGCCCTGCTGTATGCAGCAGATAAGGCGACCCTTGATAATCTGCGTGACGGCCGATGCAGGATGTATTTTATGTTTGAAGAAAATATCATGGTTGTATGTGGGTTGAGATACTGCCAGAGCGCCCAGGCCTAGACAGGAGGACATTTAGGGTCCTCATCCAAAGTCTTTGGCTCAAAAGCCGGTCCGCAAGACGGTGAGGAGATGGCAACGATTTATTTTTACAGAAATACACGCCATCCTATTTTAAACCTATAACTTGGAGTCTGCGTTTGTCTCACCTCTCAACCTTGACCAACCTGGTAGGAGTAGCTCTCAAGGTGCGCGGAGGCATCACCCGGTATAGCTCAATGGGTCATTGAGGTACGCAAACCGTCGCACCAGGTTAAGGTCCAGTCTCGTTGTGACCAGTTCAGCTGGCCCCCTGCTCTCGAAACTCTTCCTACTCAGGTGATACAAGACGAGCTATGGACGGTTAGTTTACAGCCCCCGTCGGAGGCGGAGGTCCGAAACGCAATCACTGCCCTCAATCGTTTTCGTGCCGCTGGCCCGGATTCCCTCCCACCTGCACTATTTAAGGATGAAGGTGAGGTCCTCTGCAAAGCCATGGCCTCCTTATTCCAAGGTATCTGGAAAAAAGAGAGTGTGCCAGCTAATTGGAGCGAATCGATTATAGTGGCAATATACAAGAAGGACAGTCGCACAGACTGTGCGAACCACAGGGGTATTAGCCTAACGACAGTTGTGACAAACTTATTGGCCTCGATTATTGTTCTTCGCCTCACTGCAGAACGGGAATCTCTGATTAGGGAAGGGCAGGCCGGTTTTCGCCCAGGACGTGGCTGCATAGACTATATTTTCACTTGACGGCAGGTGCTAGATCAGTGCCACGCATTCCGCAGACCGACAATAGCTGTGTTCCTCGATTTCAAGAGTGCGTTCGATTCAGTCGATCGATTGATTCTGTTCAAATTACTTGCGCGGAAAGGTGTACCCACGAAATATGTGAACATCCTTCGTGCTCTATACTCGAACACTACAGACCGCGTCAGGGCCTAGGGTGTCCTGTCGGATAGCTTTTCGACTACAAGTGACGTTCGTCAGGGTTGTCCGATTACCCCATTTTTGTTCAATTTCGTCGTCTCTTCTACCATGGAGTGTTCCCTTGCGGAATCTCACGATGTGGTCGTTGAAGTGCTGCCTGGTGAGAGGTTAGTTTGTTTTAGATTATGCGGACGATATCCTGTTGCTTTCGTCGATGTTAGGGCTGCCGAGTCAACCCTGAATAGCCTGTCCAAAGTGATCCCATTATTTGGTATGCACTTCGCACCTTGAAATTGCAAAGTGTTGCTACGGGACCACCAGCCACTTGATGACCTCTTGTCGCTTGCTAACGAGGAACTCGAGGTGGTTGATCATTTCACTTATCTTGGCAGCTGCCTCAGCAATGATGGGCGCATAGAAACTGACGTCAGCTCACGCATTGCAAAAGCCAGAGCTGCCTTCTTGAACATGCGTCATCTTTGGCGACAGAAGGGAGTTTCCCTTCGTCTGGAAGGCCGTGTATACAAGGCCACAGTGAGGGCCGTTCTTCTTTATGGCAGTGAGACTTGGCCCCTTCGTTCTGAAGACCTGAGGTGCTTTCAAGTCTGCTGATCGTTGTCTGCGAAGCATTGCTGGTGTCGGATGACAACAGTGTGCCCGCAAAGAGGATGTCCGCAGGCGAGTACTAGGTGGTGATACTCATGCTAACTCCCTAGAATAACAGGTAGCACTGAATGGGTTGTGTTGGCTCGGGCACCTGCTACGTATGCCTAGTCACCGGTTACCTAGTAGGGCCTTGTTTAATCTGCCAGGTGTAGGGTGGCGCGAGGCTCGCGGTTGACAGAAGTTGACTTGGCAGCCGGAAATGAAGTCACTGACGACCAAGCTGGGTGCCGTTGGTCCGTCTCATCTTCCGGGCTGGAGTCCACGTGGCTCGCCTTGCGGTTGGCTGGAGACCTTGCAGGACATGACTCGCAGTTGATACCAGGGGCGCGTCTGCTGCGGTCTCCCTCTTCTCTCCCTCTTCTTATTCTTTATTTCATAGGACCTCATGGCTGTATGGCAGGGAAGCATTAGTTCAAATGGCTGATGTACTGCTGTTGATGATGATGATGATGCGGCAAGATGAAACTCCGTCAGGACCGGGGGTGTGAGAGAAGTTCATTGAGCTTAGAGCTCGTGGAAAATTGTCAAGTTGCAATCAATGGTGTGCCTGCGATCGTCTGTAAACTCTGTAATCGTAACGGGCACTAGCAAATTATTGCTGATGAAGGCACCACAGAATTGTGCTTTAAGGAACTCGCACAGCTCTGCTGAATCAGTGCTAAACATGTTATTGGGAGGCACGAATGAGGCAATCAGCAGGTCATTGCGGCCACTTTGGTGATTCATAAGTCGTACAAGTGCTCTAGCCTGATTCGCCCTACGTGGTGCCGTGCGCTGAGCTAGAGGAAGTACATGACTGCGAGTTTCTTCACTCGACTAGGATTTTGTGGGCACTAATTATGAGGTGGAACCCCTTAGTATACTTGCAGCATAAGCCCATTTTTTGAGCTCAGTGGTAATTTTACGCGTGGGAACGTCATCGGGAGTTTGAGCTTCCTTGCTCGAGCTCTGTAGTGAGAGTGAAATCTGAGAACACTGTCCGTAAGTTGCTGGTTACTGACGACTGTGCGTGGGTGGCACACAGTGTTTGTGCGTTGCAACACATGGCCAGTGTGCTGGCTTCGTCAACGGCCAAATTCAGGCTCACCAGCAACGCAAGCGAAGCTTCCGGTCGCTTTTAGCCTTTACCGGAGGTGTAACCTGCAAAGGTTCTACGAACAGCATTAGTGCTGAAGTACTAGAAAACACCCCTGCTTCTGCCACCTTGGAAGAGTGAGGTCGACTGACCAGCAGCTACACTGTGCGCTGCGTATAAACGCATTGAGGCCAGTGGCGGCATTCGGAAAGCCAGAGTACCGAGTGTGAAACAACCATCAGCTTACCTTTGACATGAAGCTGATTTTGTTCAAATGCGTAGGGCTGACTGTTCGTGTATACCGCAGTAAAACGTGCACGATGTACCGGCGGGTGGTGTGCGACCTAGAGCTGCTCTAAACACATTGTCGGCAACGTATGCTGCGTATTGGTTTGTGCGATAGCTTTGCGGATGCGGAAGTATTGTGTATAATATAATATAGGCAGAGGACTGCATACTATTGCTGACACCTTTGATGGCCAAGTCATGTGTAGCGTATGAATTCGACGCCGATACCGAAGCAATCATTATGTGCTCAGGTGAGTCTTAGGAAGCAACGTACGGGAAACAGAAGCTTCGTTACCTGGAGGTGAGCGAACGAGCCTTTGGTGTCCTAAGCTTGCTTACAGGTCATGGGAAATAAGGGCGGTTAATATGCGCGCGTGCCGCTAGCTGCTCACGAAGGCGGTTGCCACGGCGCAGGAGAAAGGCCGCATGTATGCGGAGCGGAAGAGGCAAGCGCGGCCGCGGCTGGCGCCGATCGGTTGTACTCCAACGGTATCGAGCGCGTAGTGCTGAATCGCGTGCGGTCTCGAGTGCCTAGGGCAGACAGGTCTAGTGAAACATGAACAAGGCCATTTGGGACCAACAACGAAATTACGAAGTCGCAATTTTAGGGCTCAGTGGCCCGGACGCATGAAGAAATGGTGAAAGGCTGCAACCTGACCCATTCAATATGTTGCGTAAACTGATTCATGTCGTCACGCAAATGCACACAAGAGGTGGTCTGATAAACGCTTTCTTACTGCGTGCGATCGTATTGTTCAGGCAAGCCGTTAAGGTCTAATAAACCTTATGCACCCTGGTGAGGGCCTTTTCAGCCTTGTTCACAGGCACAAATTGACAGGAAATCATACGTAAAGTTGCAAACGGTTAGCGCAACAACAGACCGGGTAGGGTGCACAAAAATCGTTTAAATAAGCAGTAGCATTTTTAGGCAACTATTGTATCGTGTTAGAAAGAGACATAAGGTTTGTCTACCGGTTTACTTTTGTCAAGCTTGGTTACGACTTTTCTTACATATAGTTTCCAGTGCACAAAAGTAAATAACTGCTTTCCATGAAGATGCACCGCCCCGTTATTCCGTTTTACATTAGACACTTGTAATGCGATTCGCGTTTAACCCACCGCGTGATCATCCACTGAGTTGTTTCAATTCGGGCTCCGTACAACGAATATAAATTGAGTACCTTCTGGATGCAAAGCATATTTACTATCTTTGCTCTATCATACCAGTTTTATGTAGTGTAGGTTATGCTACATTATACGGCACTGGAGTCAAAACTTATTTATATTTGTAGTTTCGCAGTTTAAACTAACTGTATTTTCTATTAAAGTTTGAAATTCTCAGTTCAGTCCTTGTGTGCATCACAAAGCGCACCGTTTCGAATAACGCTCAACCTGGCTTGCAACGCTAATAAACCGCAGAATATTTTGACTATTATAAAACGGAATATCGTTATGTATTTAATAAAGTTCTTTACGTTTTTAGTCCGGGTAGGCAGTATTATAAATACAAAATAAATTATAGGTAGGAGTTTATATGCAGTGCGTGTGCAAAAACTCTAAAAATACAGCACTATGTTTGATCGCATGTAGTTTTTAAGCCATTAACTAGTAGTGGGACTGAAACCCTAACATAATCATCCTTATCGAGGTCATGTATGGTGCCCAATTTTTCCTTGATTCCTTAGAAAAATAATTAGCTTTAAGCGAAAAGCAAACAATCGTTTCTGACTTTCTTATCATCAGGTTTTTATAGTCAGGTACATAACATTGCTTTTGGCTGTCAATGAGCACGTTTACCTACTGATTCCTCGCTCCACGTTTCTTCACATCAGGCATCAGTGTTTATCGCGTAGTACGAGGTTTCCAAGCTCATCGACGGTATGCCTTCGAAGAATGGTCGGGAGTCCGAAGGGAGTGATGCCGGTGAAGACGAGTTTCAGGTGGAAAAGATCCTTAAAGTTCGTATTCGTGGCGGTCGCAAAGAATATTTTTTGAAGTGGAAAGGCTATCCGGACGAGGAGAATACATGGGAACCGGAGGAGAACCTCGATTGCCCTGAACTTATCAAGGTGAGCAAGTCATCTACTCCACGTTCTCGTGATGCTTTAGTTGCTTGCTGCTAGGTTACCAGTTGGTGTACTGCGCATATTGATCGGGCTGCGCCGCTATACGCACCTTTATTGGGCGAAGGCGCTTGCAGTGCAGGGAAAACATCTGCAAATAGAGCAGCCTATCGGGATACGACTGATTTCTTAACCCACGTACTATTATTGTGACAGTTATTAGAAGTCTTTTAACTGCCGTCTTATCGCGGAACAAACATGGCAGTATTCCAAATATGGTCTGACAATGGCTTGGAACTATGTATGTCTCTAATGTTCCGAAGGATTTGCGAACCAACGACGGTATTCGAAACCGTTACGTGTTGCTGTCGTCCAGTTATCACTGGATTTGTAGTCAGGACAGCGAAATACCCGAGTTGACTTAGTGCGGCGCATGTGGTATTGCATTTCCGCCAGGTAGATAACGTGTGGAAGGCGTACTTGATCCTTTACGTAGGACTAGACAGTTGGCAAGATTTATTGGCAAATGCACTTAGGAAAACTTGTCAAGAGCTATCTGCAGGCTTGCGAACGTCTTTTATAGATCCCTGGGTCGTGTGCTACCATGATAGATCGGAACAAGGGAAATGAACCGCCGCCTCACTACAAGAAAACCCACCAAACGTAGACCGCTAGGTTTTGGACGTGCTTTAACATCGTTGCTGGCTTCTTTTAACTTTATCCTATCTTTTAACATGAAGCGTGCCTGCACACGCGAAACGCAAAAGATATTGCGCTCCTCCGGTGCTGACAGCCATGCGCGGTAAACGGGGCTTGCTGTATATACTATCAATCGACATCTTCCCAAGTTTACTGGAACCCCAGTAAACCCGGGTGGAATTAGATTAGAAACAATTTTTGGACCAGTGCAAGTTATCAAGCATGCGATTTTTCGGAGGAACCTCGGAAGTGCGACATTTCAAGGAAATGCTACTATCTTTAGATACCTCACTACGACAAGGAGTGTTTTCGGCACGTGTCACTGGCGCGGCGTCCTGCTTTATACCCAACTGTGCAACAACGGTAGCTGCATATGACGAGGTCTTTGGCTACGGCTTGGCAGAACGTTCAACTGACACTTCCGTTGTCGGAGTGTCAGTAGATGTGCTTTACCTTTTAACTCGGGTCTAGTTGAATTCACCAACTTTATCTTTCGCCGCTTTTGCTTGGCAGGCTTTAGTTCTTTCCCCATTGTTGTTGAATCTAGGATACTGTCAGATGATCGCTATCAGAATGATTCCAGTCTCCGGACAATCTTAAGAGTTTGGAAAACCGTCGAATTAGTAGTGGACATGCAGTCGCCTGAGCGCTCCCTCGTTTCAAGAACCGCACTGTCAAAACGAAACGTTCCCCGTAATCAGTTGCCGCATAACAAGACAACAAGGAAAACGTGTAATAAACGCATTACACACAACAACTAACGCGTAGCGGTTTATAGCATAGGTAGCTCGGTTGGGCGTGCCTACGCGCGCATACAAATCAATACTTTTTGAACCAGCGTAACTCTGATTGTTAAACAACAGCTGACATGTATGTTCAAGGCTTGCGACGATTTGGTCAACTTTTCGCTCTAAAAAATAAGGCAAAATAGGGCACCTACCCTATCCACTAACTATGTCAGTCATCTGATCACCGCAAATGTCTTGAGTCTAATCCGAAATTTGCAGTCTACAAGATGCTGAATAAACTTTTCTGAAGCGGATGGTTTCCCTACTGTTCGGCGCTAGAAGCAAAAATCAGGATGACCTTCGCAAGTTCGTCCTTTAAAGGTAGTTTGTCAAGATGAGGAATGCCGCCGTATCCTTAAACGGACTTCACGTCTGAGAAGAGAATTCTGTTTCGAAACCATTCCACATACTAAGGATCGGTTTGGGAAACTAGGTGGATGAAATTCTACTACTTTAGAGCAGCACCCTGACTTAATGGCTTTTACTGGAATCTGGTTGTCGTCGATTTTCCAGGATATCAACTTCCCTGAGCAGATCGTTTTGTGGGAGGTCTGGAGTAATGCGGTCCACTTCTAAAAGTTACTTGAGATATCAACGGAGTTTCGAAAATTTTTTGGTGTAGCAGTGCAATGTAACAATGTGGTTACAGGTCGCTACTGATCGGCGTTATCTACAAATCCACTTTGTGATCAGGATCTCATCTACTGGCCTCCATGATACACAGTGAAAGCAGACTGCCTGATGAGTGACTTCAATGTTCCGAATGTCTACTCGGACGTTTTTCATTGGGATTCATCTCAATTCTTTGCTGCAGTTTTATGGACTACTCACGAATTTTACCCTACTCAACACATCCCTTCGCCTGCGCGGGTTTTGTCAGGTCGTTTATCACGCATCCTTGATTTCCTACTCACACCAGCACCATCAGATATCTCAGATTTTTCTGTTCTCCGTCTTCTCGGCAAACACCACAAGTGACTTTTCTCCACATTGTATTGCATTACGTTAGCTAATGGTGGGGTACCCGTCTCAACTAATGTGCCGCAATTCAAAAAAATAATACAGCGAGATACGGTATATGCCATGATACAGCAGAAACAAAAAGGAAGCGCTGCCCAATATCATTATGAGCATCACGTGTGGGAAGTGGGAAGATAAGTTGGGCTGGAACAAAAAGACAACACAAACGTGTCGGCTCTTTACTATCCAACCAAACGTGTTCATCGTCTTTCTTACCCTAACCAGTAAGTCTTGAAACTCCAACCGAGGCCGAATTGGAGCTAAGTCCCTTCATTACTCTTGACCAATTCATCGCTTTGGTTTCTTTTATACACATTCCTGTAGCGCAACCAACGGAGTCGGTTTGCTAGCACGTGACCTAGCCATCCGAGTCTGATACACAACATAATGGTGCTGGGCGGTTCACTCGCAACGCTGAACTCGTATTGTTCCCATCGGATGCGAGCTGTACTTTGACAGCGACGATCGAATGTAGCTAGCCTTTTACGTCTGTCGCTTTGACGGGTCAAGTTTCGCAACCAAATAGGAGGGGTTTTGCTCACCGCTGCGTTGTAAACTCTGCCACTCAGGGTGAAAGTAATGTCGCGCCAGCGCCACATTTGACAAATTGACAAAAACACCTCGAGCTTTTGCTATGCGGTTGATCTCATCTTCGATCCCAAGGGCGCTGATATAGCTGCCTAGATACTTGGGTTTCCTTACGACTGGTAGCTAAGCACCGCTGTGGGTCAGCACAAGGGTGGGTCCTTGCCAATTTTGATGCGACTTTGAATTTCGAGAATGCAATGCACAGCCTGAAACGATTGACAGCCAGAACTAATTTATGCAGTGCTGCTTCTTACGTTTTAGAGCTGTCACGGGTAAGAGCAATATCGTCAGGGTATCCCAAGTCCAGAAGTCGGTCACCCAGGAGCAGCTTCACCGTTCAATTATGTCCAGTGAATGTAGTGTCCATGACATCGGTCATCCTTATCTCACTCCACTGGAGATATTGAAGGTCGGCGACAGCTTTCCGTAAGCTTTCCCTCTACATGAAGTGCGCGCGTAAAGCGACCGGATGATACGTACCTATCTTTCAGGCACAAATTTCCTGAAGAGTCCCACAGAGTACATCTCTCAACCGAATCAAAGGCACCTTTGATGTCAAGCAACAAGACTACGGTGGGTCGCCAGTAAATATATCGGTGCTCTAACGATTAACGTGATATTAAGTTGTGATAATTACAGCCGCGACTTCGACAGAACCTGGCTTGCTGCTCACGGATCTGGCTTTCACGAGTACCACACAGTTTGGAGGATGACAAGCAAGAATCTTTGGCAATTGAGAGCAGACTGGTCCCTCTATGATTGCCGCATTTGGGACGTGAGCCTACATCGAAAGTCGGGACTATAACGGCGCACATGCAGTCCGCTGAGGTATTCCCCCCACAGCTTCACTAATAAGTTGTGTAATTCATCCATAAGTACAGAGCCTCGAGCTTGAAGAGCGTTGCAAGAAGTCCATCTGCTCCTGCGGCCTTATTCAATTCCAACAGTCTAATCACACGCGCGTGTGGATGGACGGCCCACAAGTGCGAGCGATCAATAGTCGATACAGAAGCTGGCAACTATGATTAGGCTGCTTCTCGAACCGTTTAGTCCAACGCTCCAAGCGCTTTTCCAGATGGTCGGCTGTCCACCCTCGTCACCTTTGGTCTCTAACCCCAAGTCTCATGCTGCCCGGTTCCCGTATCAGACGGAATAATTTCCGCTCGTTACCAAGGGAAGAAGCTTTTTCCATCTTCGATGCATGATGAGAGCACGCAGACTTCCGTTGATGTCTTTGCGAGTCTCATTGTTTGAAATGTTCCGGAGTACTGATTGCTCGGGTTGATGATTCATTTGTTCTCCTAGCTTGGCGGAGAACAAATGAACAGTTGAGTCTCATTGTGTTCGCTTTCAGCCGGGACATGTCGGTGAGCATCCACAAGTTCCAGAGGTTGCGTAGAGACCCGAATTCTGTTAACAATTTGATTTGCCACATGCCTACTCTTAATAACATCTGGCGGGTATGCCACCAGTGATCTTCAACTGTGTTCACTGAGCGCTTAGTCTGTATGTCAGTGTGCTTTGACGCACATTTGGAACATATTGCTTCGCCAAGTGGCAAATATCAATGCTCTCACAGTGCCGTTGCGGACCTTCACCGATTATATGTTGTAGACGTACTTTGGACGAACCATAGAACCTCGGTAGTGCCGGTTATTGTGACCGCATTATCTTGTGTTCCAATTTTGTTATTTACCCCATTTGTTCCAGTCTTTGCAGAGTACATCTGATGTTGCCGTCTCGGCCATTGACCACCCTTATGCTATCTCTTTGGATCCGCGCTCAGGCGCAAAGGTCGAAGTGAGATCAGGCTGTCGAACTTGAATAAGCCACTTGAGCAGATCTATTTTTTTCTAACCCTCTTCAGACTCGGGTTTTAGCTTTTAGGTGATTTACACAACTTATTAGGGAAACTGCGGGAGCAATATATTGTCGTTAGGGACTGGGGCAGCTCCGTTATACTAGTTTTCATGAAAGGCTCACGTCCGAAACGCAACACTCGTAGACGCATCAGTCCCGCTTGAAGCACCGTTATTTCACGTATCAGGTGATGGCTCCGCCACGTGTTACGCATGCCAGCCCACCGACTCCCGCGACGTGCGTTTGCGCGCCGCGGGTGTGGATGGAAGAGGAGGTGAGGTGGGCAAGCGATGACTTGGTTAAGAAGCTGGCCTCGGAGCGCCTCGGCTCCCTGATTGCGGTCCGAAAAACCATGAGCACGTTCGGCTGGATATGCTGACATGGCTAGGATCCGAACTCAGTGGCGTTCGTGCTGTGAGTTTCTTTGTCCCACCCTATCCCTCTTAGCCTCCCACTCCAACCACTATCTCATTATTTAGCATTTTATAATTTTACATAGAAAATTAATTTTTTCTGCTGCATGGTAGCTGGCAGTTAGCTTACCGAAACGATGCCCATCCGTTACTGGTAGCTCAGCTAGCTTGCACTTGTTGCATTTTATTCCGTATTTTTCTTTTAGGTATTGCGGCACGGTAATTGAGGTGCTTCCTACCCCTAGCTAACGTGTATAGTGTGTGTACTGAGTCCCGCTTGGGCCCTTTTCCTGTAGTTTCACGCATATGTATTAAACTGCACTAACATTTGTTTGTCTCGACTTATTATGGCTTTACAGCATTTACGCCTAGATTGGTAACTCCCTATCGTAACGTTTCCATTCCGATTGGTGTGTCTGCTCTCTTGCTACCTTACCAGTGCTCATGGTCTTCCAGTGTGCCCCCACAAATTATTCTTTCCTTGGACCTTTGCAGGAATTTGAGGACCGGCGTGCACGGGAGAGAACTGTCAGCGGCAGTCCAGCACGTTCATCTTCTAGCGCTGACAACGTCCGCTCTAAAAGCCGTTCCAAGCCGTCACTGGGCACTCCACAAGGCGGTTCTGCTTCCCCCAAGCAGACAACTGATGAAACACCCGAGCCACCAAAGAAGAAACGGGCTCCAGTCGACAGTGGTGGCGCTACCCCGGATCAGGTGTCAGAGGATGCTAAAGGCGGCCAAGACGACGACGTCAGAGTAAGTCTGTTCATTTACCGTTTTATTCTTTGCTCGTATCTTATTTGGACCCAACTTGTCATGCTAGTAGTAGGATGGCGTGGGTCTCACGTTTAACATATATAAACATATACATACATATATATACATATATAGACATATATATATATATATATATATATATATATATATATATATATGTTGCAACAGTCTATGAATAAACATTGAGCCATCGGAAACCATGGAACTCAAAACAAGGTACAGAAGTAGTAAAAGAAAACACAACATCAAAATCCATGGTTTCGTCAGTGGGCGAGATACTACACGGTTGCCCAAGCCGAAGTAGGATGTTGACTTAGGGGACACCACCCCGAGCCTTTGGCTGAATAGCCTGCCCGCAAGGCAGCGGAGCGAATTCAGGGAATTGCTCCCATTGGGAGCCGGTGACTGAATGCTCAGTTCATACGCCTTTCGTTTGTTCCTTTGCCAAACAGGGGCCCAATGCTCCCCCAAATTACAGCATAAACCTGCTGGAATACAATGCTTCGCCAGTATGAAGCAAAGGGCAGTGACTTTTAGTGGCGAGTCATGTCCGCCACGTCACAGTGTTTTTAAACGGACATATGTGGCTTTTTATAGGGAGAACGCTTCCCAGGCGAAAACCCACCACGTCTTGGAACACTGCCGCCGAACCATTTGCTGGAACGGGAAAATCCCTAACCACCCAGCTGGCACCACGAGGAGGTTGTTCGGCAAGCTCTACCTGAACTTCATGGCTGATGTACTGGTGTTGATGATGACGAGCTTCATGTTATCCATCTCCTTGAAGCGTGTAATTATTTTATGGGATTTGACTTCACTAGGCTTCGTTTCTAATCTTTCATTTTTGCTGCAGATTGCTGTACCTCGCTATATGCCAGTGGTTGCAAACATCCAAATTCTCTTGCACGTTACCTGTTCCGTCTCTAACTGTCAATGCGCATGCTCATATGCAACCACAGGTTTACTCACTGCACCAAAATTGATTGGGTACCGCTGATGGCGTTTCCCTCTATTGTGTTATGTGCGATCTCAGGTTTATTTGCCTTAGGCATTAAAATGATGAATCCTTCCACCCACTACACACTTACTTTCACTACTCCACTTTTTTGTAAATTCCGTCAAGCAAGCGAATTCATAACCGTATGGCCATGTCAGATTTACGTCAGTTAACCCAATTATCCATACCCAACTTCCATCCTCTTCTGGAATCAGATACATTTGCTTTTTACAAGCGAGTAGTAGGATGGAGTTGAATGGTGTTAGTCGAAATTCTTCACATATATATTCAGTCAGACAGTCATCACACTGCTGTTTCATCCTTCCGGCAATTGTCCCCAGTGCGCACCTCATCTGACCCATATGTATGTAATCTTAACAGTCTGGCAACTAGGCATAGAGCCAACAAAACCATGGAGATAAGCAGATAAGGGGAAGTCACTGCGTCATAATCATCGGGGCATAGTAGTTGAAGGTGAGCAACACACTTCAGTTAATATGCCGCAGGAAAAAAGGAACATTTTGACCAAAAGTGGGACAAAACATTTTATTTTGTTTTCCACCCGCACATTTTCTCTTGTTTTCAATGTTTGAAGTATTAAACATGTGAATCGGTGCAATTCTGTACACAGCCTTTCACTCATTTCGGTTGCGACCCATGTCTTCAAGAGTGTTAAGCCATTGGCACTCTACATCTTTGGGTCCCCATCCTGGAAGACGTACGGATCCAGCGGTGGCTAGACACGTCAGCGATTTCTTGTGCTGTCGCCATGTGAAATGCTGACCATTACGCGGTCGCCTCCAGTCAGGTCCTTGACGAGCGAATAGAGCGCGACGCGGTAGAGGCTCAGGTTTCATCCGTAGGACGTGACCTAGCCATCTCAACTGGCTCAGCGAAACCGGTTTGTTGAAGGGACTACTCGCATTCCCCAAGATGCGATGTCGAACATCATTACTTTTAACTCGATGTTAACACCAAACACGAGCAATCTTCCTTAAGCAACTGTTATCGAAGGCAGAAAGATGGCGCACGTTTTCCACGCGAATCGGCAAGGACTCGTTCCCATACAACAACACTGATCGAACAGGCGATGTAAACGCGAACCTTGAGCGAGAATGAGACGTCGCGACGACGCCACAAGTGCCCCCGATTGGCAAATGCTGATCGAACTCTAGCGATGCAAAGAGAAACTTCTTCGCTGATAGTACCGTCAGCAGAAACAGCTGCCAAGGTAGACGAAACTATCTACCTGTTCAAGTTGTGCACCTTTGAGAGAGCACGGCAGCAGGTGTTAGCCCATCCTGGAGCAGTACTTTACACTTCGATGGGGCGAAGCTCATGCCATACTTAGACGCTTCAACTGCCAAACGATCCAGAATGAGTTGCATACCCTGAGGATCGTCACCAAGTAAGGCGATATCATCAGCATAAGCTAAGTCGGTTGCGCGCTCACTCGGTAGAAGTTCTAGGCCAAAATGTTGGAAAGCTTCTAGAGCACTCTTCGATTGCGAAGTTGAAGAGGAATGGGGACATTGGGCAGCCCTGTCGCACACCGCTATAGACAGCGAATTCCGAAGAAAACTTGCCATAGACCCTCAATCAGCCGGAGGTATGAAGGTAAAGTGCTCGTGAATTGGCGGTATATTTCTTTGGCACCGCGTTCTTTAGCAAGCAACGCCATACAGCCGGTCGATCAACGGAGTCAAAAGCGGCACGTATGTCTAGGAATGCGACGATTGTAGGCCTGTGATAAATGTGGCGATGTTCGAGGATTTGGTGGAGCGTAAAGATTTGATCCGCGCATCCGCGGCCGGGACGGAAACGCTTGTTCTTCACGGTAGTATGATTCATGTATTGGAGATAATTTGCGGAGCAGAACGGATGCCAATAGCTTGGAGGCAGCCAAAATAGGACTAATCCCGCGATGATCTACACATGAAGTGCGAGCGCCTTTCTTGAAAATCGGGACAATAACTGATTCGCCCCAAGAAGAAGGCACTTTCTTCATGTCAGATTTTTTTACGAACAGCGACGTCAGCTGGTTAATGCTCGCCACGCCGCCGTACTTGAACAGCTCCGGAAGAAGTCCTTCTGAGCCGGCAGTCTTGAACCGCTTCAAGCGTCCAATCTCGAGGCAGACTTCCGCTTCGCTGGGTGGATTCAGTGCGACGAGCCAGGGTGGACAACGAGGTCTACTGCATACACTGATGGACGGTGGAGGCCAGTTGATCTGTGTGAAAGTGCTTGGCCCAGCGGTCCATACGCCTCTGTTGGTTGGTGATCGGAGGCTCATCCACCTCGCAAATAAGCTCACACCAGGCTTCCTGAGGCCAATGAACCGAATGAGTTGGAACAACTTGCGAGTGTTGCCAGAGTTGGCAGCGGATATGGGAAGCACCAGTGCATTTTAGTGCCGTACAATAAGATTGAATATCGTAGGTGGAGGTTTATTACGCCTAGACTCAGACACATCCATCGCACGCCCGGAAAAGCACTGTACGGCGGTTTCATCCTTTCGAGAATCGTCAGCAGTGCATATTCCATCTGACCTATCTAGGGCTCGGACCTGCAACTCGACTGTTGCCGTATTTGGCTGAGACTACCGAGCTACGGAGGACGGTAATAACCAAAGTGACTAAGTTACTACCTGTTATATAGCACCGTTCACTGTCCACTGGATTACACATTATTACTGTGCAGAGGACGAGGTAGCCCCCTTACTAAGCGATGAACTTAACTTCAGCTGCCGGTAAACTTATGGCACTATAAGCAGTTTGCTGTATGTATAGGGCTACACCTTCCATAGTAACGTGCAAGTCATTGTATACTGAGCGGCAAGATATAACCTCTGTTAACTTAGCAACTGGTTGTTACCTTCTCCCCTAGTCCAGTGGTCTCAACCACAGACTGGCAACGGCCGAGTTGCGGGTTCTAGCCCTGCATGGGTCAGATGGAATATGCACTGCTGACGATCCTCGAAAGGGTGAAACCACCGTGCAGTGCTTTTCCGGGATTTGATGGATGTGACTGAGTCTAGGTGTAATAAACTTCTACCTGTAGCATTCACTTTTATTGCTTGGCACTGAAATGCGCTTTTGCTTACCATTTCCTATTGCCATCCCACATCTTCCAGTTGCTGAATTGTCAGTCAGCAGTACGCCGGTACGCAGTACCGATCCTTCGCTGCCGCGTAACCATCACCAGTCGCGCGTGGGCTGAGGATACTATGAGACTCGCCCTGCCCCTACGCAGGCATGAATCTGCGCTGTCAGATTACAAGTTCGTTACATTTAGGCTACTGGCCGGTCTGCCGCGCAACTACCACCAGTCGCACGTGGGCTGAAGATACCGTGACGGTCACCCGGTCTCCTGTGTAGGCTCGAACCCGCGCCCTCGGATTACAATGCAGGCTTGTGTTTCTCAAACTTGCGGGCCGGCAGTTGCTGCATGAACTCATTAATGGTAGCTTGGTGTGCACATTTTGATAATGTTTGCACAAACCTGCTGCGTGCAACGTACAGCGCTCCTACTTGTTGGATCTATGTGCAATCTAATGAACGCGCATCCTTCTTATCTCACGGGTGTTATTCCGATCTTCCATTTGCGACACCCTGTAAATGAAAGGTTTGCGGGTTTACCAGGGGTTCAAACCACCGTACGTAGGCACTCAACCGGTATTCAGCCTACTGCCTTGTTCATTCGTGTTTTGTGCAAACTACAACTGTCACTACTCTTTTTATCTTGTTCGTTAAACCACTGTAGGCCTAGTCGTCCTCATCCACTTGTGATGACATTTGACCTCGCAAAACATTTTGGAGATGTTCCCTGCTGACCTGAACTATTCTCTGACCCCTTCCGCCGGGTAAGGGGCTACTGGGATGTTGCTTTCTGAGCCTCCCATAACAGTTAAAGTACGTCACTTTTGCAACCTATCCATCTTTAACTTCGTGACCGAGATGACCATAAGCGGCTCATCTCAGTCACTTCTGGAGTTATAGCTCCATCAAGTAACGGACGAATTCTCTCAATCCCAACCCATCTTCTGGTTAAATCAACGCGGGGTGTCGCACATTTCGTCGTTCTCTCTCTCACATCAGAGTGGGTCTTTTGTTATAATTCAGCCCTGGTATGCCACTGTTCTTAGTAGTCACGTATAGTCGCTAGAAGTGTTCACTTGGTTCACTTACCCATAACGCTGCATGTAAGCCACGGATCAGCAGGACGCCTAAAGCTTTCCGAGCTCAGTCAGCGCGTTATCAATCCATCAGCCGGGTGACACGATGTTCAGCACTTAGGTACGGCCACTGTTAATATATGGATCAACCTTGAGGTCACCAAACCCTTAGGATACGAAGAAACTCATCGCCTTTGTCAGTTAACAAAAGGCGTCAGCAGTACGCCGCCACCGTACTGACGCTTCGCTGTCACGCGACCACTGCCAGTCGCGCGAGGGCTGGGTACATCACGATTTCGCTCACACGTGCATTCGAACCGGTAACCACAATATTACAACGCAGGTTCGCAGTCTTTTTGGCCACTGGCGGAAAAGCGGTGTATCGCCTATATTCGACGGAAGCACAGTGTGAGCAATACGGAATTTCACCAGTTGTTGCTCAGAAAATGCTTCCTCGCTATCGCACTAAAGTATCCGTCGCACTCAACCCGTTCATTTGGATAGACTATCCTTCGTATATCCACCAAATACTTACGAGTCCCACTTGTCAGCTTTTCCTTCCCTACCGCCAGTCATATGGCCCTTCATGAATCCATTCAAAACTGGGTCGTGATTAGGAATTTGCCATGCATGGATAAGTGTCTACTTTTATACTGGGAACAATATGGAGCAGTATTTTATTTATTTTTCTCATAGCAAATATATTGCAAGCCAGATAGGCCAACCACCAGTCCGGATAAGGACCCGACAGCCTTTTGGGACTCGTCAGTATGGATTCACGGCTACCGGTTTGGAGGTCCGGACACATGAGTGCCCACCGCTGTTTTTTGCACGCGCTAGCCCGTGGCCTTAAGGATCTCAGGTGTCTTTTAATTCGTGAGCGCAGATTCGAGCCTGAGTAAGGGCAAAGCAGCGACCTTCGCAGTATCCTTAGCCCGAATGCACCTGGTGGTGGTTACACGGCAGCGAAGTGTCGATACTGCGTACCAGCGTACTGTTGTTGCCCTCTGCACGTACAGTAGCCTGCGTGGCAGTGGAGCGTAGGTCGGGTCAGTTATCGTCACCCATGGCTCAGTTGCATAAGCTACTGGCTAGTATTTCGAGCCAATTGCAGTCTTAAGTTCGGTTCTCTAAAGGGTACCGGGGGAATGCGTATCACTGACAAGTCTCAAGTGGAGGAAACAGTCGTTTAGTACCTTACCAGAATGGTAGTTGGCTTTTCTGACTTTAATCTAATTGCGATGAACTAAACAACTCTCATCACCTCCCTCTACTCATGTGCCAAATGTTTGCCCTTCTGGGTGCAATAGCTCTTTTTTAATTGTATTGTTTTAATTTTTTATTGTTGCGTTTTCTCAGCCATTATCGAGCGGTGCGAAGTCACCACGGGATCTTGAAGCCTAATTGGCGTCGTTGATGCGATCGAGCAGGGTCAGCAGGTGTCATTGATGCTCGCTCGTCTCATCAACCAGCCAACCTTATTGCCCGTTGATGTTGTGACAAAAAGACTTCAATTGGATGCACTTCATCCAGATACCTACTCCAATGTGACGCAACCATAAAATGATGCTCTTGAATTCTTTGCTTTGTTTCTGACCACACCTATTCAGTCTGTCTAATTCAATTGAATATATCTGTGTTTATCGCATTATTATTGTTAATAATAGCATTACTGTTTTGGAGACGTGTCAAGACAACAGCACGTAATTCACTTCGGTACCTGGATCGTGGTTACCCAACTGAAGAACTGAACTGTAAGCCCCACCGATTGCTGTGAAATTAACATTCAAGCGAGCCTCTTCCGGAGACCAGACAACGCTTTTAATGCTGTTGATAACAAGTGGTTTATTCAATTGTATGTCGACTACCGTTTCTGTACCAACGGCATCAATTTCCGACCCTATTCTTCATAAGGCCTTGTCTGTCACCCACAAAGCGAACCGATGATTTAGCACCAATTGAACGTACTGGCACCAGTTACAGATGGCGCTTCTCACTTCATGAGTGCCGATCGATATGGAGCACGTGCCCTGACTCCAATCAAAGCTTAGTGCGTACCCTAGTACCGTTCACTCTCCATTCCGGCGAACATCTATCTACGAGGCTTCTTACTCGTCACCTAAGTTCATATCTTTCAACTGAATAGTATTGAGACGAACCGGCTCATTGGCCATTATTGACAAACAGGATGAATAAGCTGAATACTGGATTTAGAGAGCACGCTGTGTGGTTGGGTTGCGCCTCGCAACCTCTATTGAGACCTCGGATCACTTTGAGGTAAACCTCGGTCATTCCGATCTCGACCGTATCCTGAATGGAAATATTTGGGTGGTGCTCCTCCCAACACTGGCACACCACAACCGCGGTTTCGTCATGGTTTGGACTCGTCAGGTGGAGATAGCCTGAGCTGGGGTGAAACTCAGAGCTTAGTAGTTCACGGCTGACGCCCTGAACACTATGCTACAGAGATCCGCGAGCAACGCTTGCTACAGCGCACGTGTCCAAACCAGGACGAAGCCGCGGTCGTGGTGGGCCAGTATTGGGAAGAGCAACACTCAAGTATTTCCATTCAAGCTGAATGCTGATTGTAATCTTTAAATATGGGGAAGGCCATCAGGCTCACTTCTGCCTCACGGCTTCCGGGCCATGACGGGCTTCCTGAAATGTCAATTAATTCTATCGGAGCAGCATGGATGATTTCGTCTGGCATCGGTTCCAGAGTGTTTGATGTAATGCCTCACTAAGTATTTTGGAATTTACCTAGCTCGGTAGATGGCTGGGGCTTGTACTCTAGTGAAGGCCATTGATTGACTATATTGAACTGGTGCTTCAACAAAGCTTTTGCTTAATGAGGTAGTAGCTGTGTAGGATGGTCCGCTTTATAACGCACCGACTGGGTCACAGTGCGGATTCCTCCAAAGGGCAGCTGAGTAGACCTCCCGTGTTGTCGTCATTTACAGAACCCTCTTCACTCACGTGTGACGTTCGGCGGACACCAGATAACTGTGTACACTTGTGCTGGAAAGCGGTACTGTTAATATTAAGGAGGCAGTCAGCACATGCGTGAAGGAATCTATCGCCACTAACTGTTGGATATGCATCTACCCCCAAACGGCCTCCTAAGCATTGATCGAAGTCTGCTAGGCGATCCCTTCGGATATTCTTGTCCTGGACAACAGCCGTAATATCCGTACTTTTTGTCATAAGCATAAGAAATAAAAAGCGTCGATTGAATTCCTCTTCGATATCCTCCGAGCTACAATCGGTTGAGGCATGCATCGAAACGGTGGACAGGCCATTGCTCGAACAACACATGCTGCTCTTCATTGATATTCACTCGGGTAAATGATTATTCTGGAGACAATACACCAAAAATGCCCCTAGTCATCGTCTAGCTATCACCGAAAACACGAGAGTTGGGGCGATTACCGAAAGATTTTGGGCCTTGGAATACAAAATTTGTTATCACACTGCTAACTTATGCACGTGTTTCGAAGGCAGTGCATCTCAACTCTAAGAGTGAAGATTGCGCATAATCGCTACTCTCCGACCGATCTGATCTGGAAAGTTGGCCTTACAAAATTCCACGTGAAATGAGGCCTTTTGTTACATGCATCATTAGCACCAGTTGAGAAACCATCGATAGCCTCTTGCTTATTAACCAAGGAGAAACCTTGTGCTTCAAAAGTAGCAATGAGAAAAAAAGTTGGCAACGAAGTCTTGTGAATGCTTTTGTTCGGGGTGCCTCTAACTTTTTACTCAACAGTCTGATCCACAATGCATTGGGGATCAGGTTCAACTCAGGACTGTGGCTACATTCTCCCATCGAGATCTACTTGCTGTCTCTCACCAACAGTCTTGGAAGAATTAGAACAATTCAGCTATTTTTCGATCATAGTCCCTTACGCATCTGCAACCACGGCCAACTGCAATTGGGACTTGTCGAATTAGCACCCATTTGACTGCCTGGCTTGGAGCGGGCAATAGCAAGTCATTCAGACAACTGTTAGCGCTCGTGCTCTACGTTATCCGTATGAAACTTACTGCACTTAGCTGTTGTGTCTCATGATTAGGTTTTGAAGAGGATCATAAAATCTCCGAACCTGAGTTTATCTGGTGCGAGTAGCTTCCTAGGTGTCTCGAGTCTGCCACGCAGCCTAACCCGATGTATCGCTGATGTCCGCGAATCAGCGCACCACCTTAGTGTCTTGTTTCGCATTTATTTTGAATTTTATCAGTGGTTTACACACTGTTACACATGTCTAAACCGAAGCAGTTGCCTTCGTGCAGTCATCTTTATTATGAGTGCTCTTTTGCTTAAGCAGTTTTGTCCAATTTCTTATGCCTATTCGTTTAGGCGAAAACCCCTAAAAGCGCTGGGAAACCTCGTGGATTCGCTCGGGGGTTGAAGGCTGAGCGTATTATTGGTGCGACGGACTCCAGTGGGGAACTCATGTTCCTCATGAAGTGGTATGTCTAATTTGTTGGTTTCCTCGCCGTCTATTGGGTCTTCATGTGGTTTTGCAATATATGATTTATTTCAGGAATCTGCAATATCCTTCATGAGATCCAGTTAAGAAAACATCTCGTTCACCCTCACTTCACCAATCATCAATCGCCTTTTGTCTGCAGCGTCTCGCTGTGCAGTTAAACGGCATGTTCAGTTCCTTGTTCATCGTGGGATGATTCATAGATTCACTACTACCTGATCGTTACTGATTGATTTGGCAGAGCCGACTCGGGGCCAACGAACAGAAAGTCAACCAAACGACACTCACACGAACTGTTGGTCATATGAACGTAGCTCAATCTGTCTCCAATCAAGTATGGATTGATCCGATGATAAGCGAGTGTGGGTCAGTTAGCTCACTTGGCATAGGACGGATGACAAACCCAGCATAGAGATTAAGCTACGTTGGAATAGCGATAGAAATCTAAGTGCGGTGTAAATGTCTCCGCTTTGACTATTGGAGGACCGCTGGAACTGATGACCGGGGAGGAGCTGCTGACAGGCAGTTCGTAACTCGCTTTTGGTGAATAAACGGCGATCTCATTGCCAGCTTCACTTCAAATGACGGAAGGTGTGGAAGGTAAACCGGCTGGACGCTGTCCATTATGTACATCGCAACCAGTGGCTTATCCATTATCTGCATTCGTTTATTAGCAACTTTGAACCATGATGACTCTGTCAGATAATCTGGTGAGGTTATCGACGGTCTGCCAAATAATGCGTATCAGAGCTTTTTACTTGCCGTTGTTTACGTAACAAGACTTTCGTGCCTACCTAACCAAACCGAGGAATTTCCTGCAAAGGTGTAGTTTTCACGATTGCTCTTAGTTCTACCTCGTATGCGATCGGTTCTTCACTGGCATAAGAAGTAATGACATCACTCCTCGCCATCTGGTGCAAGTAAATCCGTTTTTCCTTGTCTCCAAAACTAACGCATCCCAACGACGGTGGCAACAACGAAACTGTACAGCATTTCTGGCTAAAGGTTTCATCCTTCGTATTCGAGGTACAAACAGCATAATCGTCATTGTTGTCTTCAGACGGGCATTCGGTTGTAAAGTCTGGAGTATGTCTACTGCGGCACACAAGCTGAAGTGTTTTTCATCTCTAACTAGTTTGTACAGTGGTATTTCCGATGAAGTTGACGATGGTGATGATGTATCTACTCGCAACTGTAGTACCGAGTTATTCGATATCCTTCATAAGTCTGACCAGTTAACTAGCAATTGTCGTCTCAGGAACGGTATAAAATACAAATATATATATATATATATATATATATATATATATAAATACAAATATATATATATATATATCTTCGTTCACCTTTGTACACGTTAGGTAGCAGTGGAACATATCTCAGCATTTTGCTGCAATACAGAGGAAAATAACTGAATAAAATAATGCAACAAAGGAACACCAGCTGAGCCGCCGGTAAAAGGTGGGCATCGTTCCGGAGAGCTAGCAGCCGGCTATTGTGCCGCAACGAAATAATTATATTATGCTTAAGAAATGAGATGGTGGCTGAAGGAGGGGGGAAGTAACTCATAACACACGTCACTGAGATCGGCTCCTTGCCATGTCAACAAGTGTATTCAGCCAAACGTGTTCATCGACTTACGTATCCTAACCAGTAAGCCTAGAGGCTCCAACCGAGACCACCTTGGAAGTAAGGGTCTTCATTACTTTTGACCAAGTCATCGCTTGGCCTTCCCTCTTCCATCCACAACCCCGGCGCGCAAACAACCCATGACGCAGGAGTCGGTGGGCTGACATGCGCAGCTCGTAGCACAGCCATCGGATCCCGGTGCGCGAAATAACGGTGCTGAGCTGTTCAATTCCTCTTCCTGTACCATAACTAAGGCGTCCAACGTTCTCACTGCTCGCACGATGTTCCCACCAGATATGATCCAAACTGCAAAGGCACCGGTAATCGAAGGTAACTAGCCTCTTTATATCTACCAATCTAATACGCCAGGTTTCACAACCGCACAGTGGAGTTAGACGTAAGCCTGCATTGTATGCACTACCGTTAAAAGAGAGAGAGAGAGTGATGTCGTGATGGCGCCATAGGTGGCGTAGGTTAGCCAAAGGGCCGCTTGCTTTTGTTATACCGTTCGTGACTTCGTCTTCGATCTAACCGGCGCTGATACTACTGCCTAGCTGGTTGAATTTCTGAACGTCTAGTTGATCCCCACCAAGGGTCAACGCAGGAGGTGGTCCCTGCCAATATTAGAGGAAAGCTTCTCACTTCTAGGGTGTAAAGCAAAGTTCGAAGCGGCTGCCTGCCGATAATAATCAGTCCAGTGCAGTTTGGCATGTATGTGACTTGTCACAGAGGAGGTCAATATCGTCAGCATACTACAAGTTCAGAAGCCGTTCACATGGGAGCAGCTCCACAGCTTCTAGGTCGTACACTGTGGGCGCGACCTCCATCACTTCGTCAGTAGCTAAGTTGCAGAGGAAAGGTGAAAACGGACATCTTTGTTTTTCACCGCTGTAGATATTGATAGGCGGCGGTAATTTGCCCTAAGCCCTCACTGCCCGAGCTACGCTCGTAAAGCGCTCGCATAATATTTACATATTTCGGACACACCTATCCTGGGTAGACAGTCCCAATGGACGCGTCGATCCACCGAGTGGAAGGCACATTTGATATCGAGGAACACGACAGCGGTGGGCCGCCAATATGTATGACACAAAGTGCAGATGTGATTGATTCAGCCCCGACCTCTACGAAACCCTACTTGCTCTTCAGGAACCTGGCTTTCACGAATGCGAGTCAGCGTGAAGGATGACAGAGGCAAGCATTTTGGAGGCGATGGAGATCAGACTGATTCCTCTATGGTTGCCGCATTCCGACCGTGAACCTCCCTTGCAAATTGGGACTATGACGGAGCGGCTCCAGTCGGTTGGGACAGTTTCCTTCTCCCACAGTTTCACTATTAAGTCGTGTAAATCATCCACAAGAGCAGGTTTTCCGTATTTGCAGAGGGATGGATACAGATCACCTCGTTCACGGCCTTATTCCACTTCTGCAGTCCGATCACACATTCGACTTCTAAGCGAGGTGGCAGAGCAGGGTGATCACTGATCGTTGAGCAATCTAGCAATCCTAACCGATTGCATTGCCTTTCATAGTGCTCAGTTTAACGCTCCAATTTGTAGATATGCTGTCCACTATCTTTACATATAGTTTCACTAACAGCATTGTTTTGAGTCCCCGAGCTGAAGCCGTCCTGATCGATTTGATCTCAGTCTACAGTCGGATGTTCGCCGTTAGATTAACTGGTTCGTTCCGTGCTACGAAGTCGCGCGGGAACAAACGATGCCTGTTTGTCATTGCGGCCTACGCCCCTACAAGCTGTAGCACTGATTCGATGACAGATGATTTCTATCAGCAACTTTACGATCTTCGTTACAGAAGAAGCACGGATACTGTGGTGTTGGCTGGCGATCTAAACGCCCAAGTCGGAAAATTGTCCTCTGATGAGCTTCATCTGGTCGGCCAACATGTTGTAGGCTTCCGTAACGATAACGGTGAGCGGTTGCTACACCTGTGTGAAGATGCTCGTCTCCTTCTCGTGAGCATTAGCTTTCGACACAGCACCCACAGAAGCGTGACTTTGCGCCCACCGGCTTCGTACCAGCCATGTACGCAAATCGATCGTATCGCGATCAGTTACTGGTGGAGAGGCTGTGTCCAAAACTGTCGCTCGATTTGGAGCACTAGCGTGGACTCTGACCACGCATTTGTCTGCGTCGACCCCCGGGTGCGTTTCGGTGGACGTCCGCAACGTCGGTATGAACGGGTTGACACCAGCCAGCTGGCGAAACCAGGTGTTCTGAATGTGTATCAAAATGCGCTGACATCCGGGCTGAGTAAGCGCTCACTAAACACCGTCGAAGATCACTGGTCGCATATTCGTCAAACGTTATATATTATCCACAATCTGTGGTACAGATATTGTGCCATCGAAATCATGGCTGAATAGGAAAACAATATGAATAATAAGAAAAGAGCAACAAGAAATGCTTTTTTTGTCAAGTTTACCACACAGTTTTTGAAAATTTTTTCAGTTTGTTCTTTTATAGGGGGAGGAGGAAGGGACACCGCAACACACTGATGCACACGTCCGCCATTGACATCGATCTTGAGCCATAACTTCCAAGGTTTTCAACCAGCAAGTATCCTCATCTCTCGGACCCCAACCAGGTAGTCGACAACAACCGGCCGAGGCCAATTGTTTCGTCAACTTTTTCATGCGGCTTCTCCATGTTGTAGGCTGTCCACCAGACCGTCTCTTCCAGCCCTGTCCAGCAAGTGCAAACAATGCACGACGGGGGTAACGCTGGACAGGCATGCGCAATACGTGTCCCAACCACCGCAGTTGATGCAGTGAGATGAGCTCTTCGAGCGAGTGGCTTCCACGTCCCAAGACACGCTGTCTAACTTCCACATTGCTTACGTGGTGCTGCCACCACACACGGGCAATGGACCGCAGACAGCGGTGCTCGAAGACGGATAGCCTGCGCAAGTCATCTTTACGAATGGGCCAGGTCTCGCATCCGTACAACAGTACAGCACGAACAGTTGCACAATAGACCCGCCCTTTGATGGAGAGACGAATGTCGTGGCGACGCCACAAATGCCTCAGCCTAGAAAAAGCGAGGCGTGCTTTCGAGATGCGCATCGAAATCTCGTCTCCAACAGCCCCGCCAGCAGTAATGCAACTTCCCAAGTAGACAAAGCTCTCCACAACCTCCAGTGTCTCACTAGCAAGCGTGAGTGCAGGCTGAGGCACCTGCCAGTCTTGAAGGAGAGCCTTGCATTTGGATGGCGAAAAGCACAAACCGTACTTTGATGCTTCAATCGTCAAGCGGTTTAATGCAAGTTGGACGACCTGTGGATCGTCACCCAGCAAGACGATATCATCAGCATAATCCAAATCAACAACTC